AATTAAACAGGCCATCACTCAATCAAAAGTTTTGTCAACATAGACTTACAATAATTAATTATTTTGGACATTCTGAAATATTGCATTTACAAAACTATTGATGAACAAGCTAATAATATTAACATGTTCTCAGTTTTTTCACCATCCCTGTCTATCCAAGCTCCATAAAAAGCATCTTAAAAAACACAGAAAATGTCACCAACGAAATTATTGTGAACACGGATCGAGTTGCGTGTGAAATGATGACTTACGTTAAAACGATAAATCATGCACACTCACCTGATATAAACGACCATCGGATCCAGGTCAATCTACCATCCAATACCTGGCCAAAAATAACAATGCACGTCAAGTATCAATAATTGATCATCAAATTTAAGAAATGAATTAATATTAAATCAATATTTGGAGATGCGATTAAGACTGCGTATCGTTAACTCGTAGATGGGCTGCATACGCGTGGGCGACATCTCAAACGATAATGTTTAAATTACAATTTAAAGAAAGTTCAGTAAATGCCAATTTGGTTTTTTGAATAATACCTGTTTTATACGCTTTAAAAGGGTAGCACAATGGAGCAATTAGTTGTAGCTATGGGGCCGGGATGATGTCATCACAGGAGTCTTCTGGCCCATAAGTCTCACGCATCTCAACACATCCAATAATAATTCAATTCAATGTTAATTAAAGTTATATTGCCAGAGAAAAATAACACAAACACGAAGTATTTATATAACATAACAAAACGGCGCGTCGTTGATAATAGGGTTGTAAAAGGTCAGGGCCGCCGTGCCCTTGTTTTACCAAATGTTAGAATTATAGTAGGTCTCACCATTAGAGAATATTTCTATTTTTAGTAAATATTGTGTATTATTTAATATCGTATTGCGATTAACAATTGCAATATTTCTTTATATTTAAAAAATAGTTTAAAAATAAGTAAATGAGACAGAAACAAAATTTAAACAATTTAGGCAGTCTTTGCTAATTTACAAAAATACTTAGGCCTCCATGTCGATTACTATTTAATTTTATTTGCTAAAACAATATGGATCGGTACTATGTAGGTCTTAGCCTATGTATTGTAAATTATCTCTTTTTAATTGAATTGAAATCTATGCCAATTATACAAAGTATTCTAATATTGAATTTTCAAAAAGTTTTTTTAGATCAACTTAGTCTTTATACTTTACCAAGTGATAAATGCTTTATTTAGAAACAACTTGCAAGAAAACAAATGCAAGATTTTGAATAAAACAACCCACGTTCACATAAACGCCTCCAGGTAGTATTAATACCGGTGCTTGTCGCGCAGATTTATGAAATAGATATATTACTTGGCGCCTCCGAAATGTTAAAAGTTGTTGCACAAGTCCGTACAGGCCTATCAAATGAACGATCAGTTATAAAATAAGTGTGATGCATGTATAGAAGAAAACGACTGTGTACATATGCAGCACACACGTGTTATTCTAAAAAATAAACCAGTAGATTGGCTAACACCTTGCGATGCAATTCATTTTTCCTGAATCAATCTAACTGATAGCTTCATTCAAAGTCTCGTCTGCTTTGATCACTTCCATCAGCCACACTGCGGTCTAAAAATATTCATATCAATTACAACAGAATAACTATTATCAAATTATGTGCTATTTTGATTATATGTTGCCATGCAAGATAGTGTAATGGAATCCGTTGCTATGTCGACAACTGAAATTGACGTTTAAATAAGTGCTTCAAAATTTTGTATAGTATACTTGGATATATAATTAGGCCTCTCGTATATACCTTTTAATTTAAAACATTATGAAAACACATTATAAATATGATTTAAATGTGTATAAGAGACAGAATAATAATAATAATAATAATAATAATAATAA